AATTGTTAATATTGCTTTCTTCTGTACTGTGAGATTCTGAATGTTTTGAGTATTTCATTTTGTCTTTATAATTTTCTCTATCATCCAAATTTTCTATAATGACTATGAATTATTTGTACCTTTGGAGGGCAGAAGCTTTATAAAAAGTTCTAGGAATCCAGCTTCACTGACTCCAGACTGAGAAATGTGTGAGAAACAAAAGGGGTTCTTACCTTTCACTGATGAATAGAGAGAGATGTCAACAGAAACCTGTTAGAGAACTGAGTTCCTCTGTGACTCCTATTCCCCCATGTTCTTCCTCTTGCCTCCAGGCTCAAAATACTAAAGCTAGCCTGAGGTTATCTGTCTGACTCCAGTGAGGAAGGGAGGCTTAATTTCTCCCCTCTGGTCACAAACATTTTGGCTGTTCTTGCCCACCGCCAGGCACTGTGCTACAGTGCATTCTGTGGCTAGACCTGACATACTAATGTATGGCTTATCACTGCAGAAATGTTATTTTCTGTATTCAAGACAAGCAGTGGCTCTCTTTATAAAGGTCTCTATGTGTTGTGTAGCACTCTAGGATAAGCACTGGACTGCTAATTGCAAGGCTATCAGTTCACACCCTTTCATCCACTCCTCGGAAACCCTATACAGGGTCACTATGAGTCGGAACTGACTCCACAGCTCTTAACAACAACATATTTGTACCTAGAAGTCCTGGGAGTTAATAGCAGCAGTCACCCTCTTAAAGTTACCTGCTTGAAGCACGGCACGTGTAGGAGGTATAAAGTTGCCTTGGCTGCAAGGCTGCAATAGATGCAATCTGTCAAATAACCCTTCCTCTCTCATTTACAACTATGAAATCCTTTAAGTTGAAGGACTAGTTAAAGAGCAGGCCTTGGGCTCTCTCTTTGGCTGTCTGGGAAAGAAAGGCCACTTAGGCCTCTGCTGGAACCCCAATGATGGAAAGTCTCCTGCAGAGATCTTTGGCCAGGGGCTATAGACCAAGGCCTGACCTGGGAGGAGACTACAGTCCCTAAGGAAGGAGTCACTCCTTACAATGTAAAACTGCTTGTAGCTTCTTTCTCCTCTTCCTACTCCCACCCTCACCCAGCTGCCTATGATTTCGGCAATATTAAAAAAAGGAATAAGCCTACAACATTCGGCTGTGCCCGCCAGGAATGCCCACAGGTGCAAGATGATGAAAGGAGAGCACCTCAAATTTGGCAAGGTGGTCCAAGGCCACTGATACAGGACTCTGTAGGAAGGTAAAGTCAAACACTGGAAGGAAACTAGCTTACACAGTCAGCTAAAGGTAAATCTCAGCCATGCTGTCCATTTGACATGTGCCTTTGCATACTCTCTCTCACTAAACTGGAAGTAGGGTTTTCTTCAAGGCCCTCCTGCTGTAGATGTAATTTAAGACAAATGTAGGCTTTCAGGTATATTTCTTGATACTTTCCTGTTCTCCACACGTCTGTCAGTTCATCATACTTTGGTGGCTTAAGGTTGTTGTGTTGCTGGAAACTATGTTAAAGAACAAAGACATTGCTTTGAGGACTGAGGTGTGCCAACCCAAGTCATGTCATCGTATTTTCATTCACCTCATATGCATGTGAAAGACAAACATTGAATAAGGAAGACCAGAGAAAAACTGATGTATTTGAATCATGGTGTTAGTGAAGAATACTGAAAATACCATGGACTGACAAAAGAACAAACAAATCTGTCTTAGAAAAAGTAAAGCCAGAATGCTCCTTAGATGCCAAGCTGGTGATACATCATCTCTTATACTTTGGACATGTTATCTATCAGGAAGGACAGTCCTTGGAAAAGGACATTATGCTTGGTAAAGTAAGTCAGCAAAAAAATGGGACACCCTCCTCCCCAATTGAGATGCATTGACACAGTGGCTACAATAATGTGCTCAAACACAACAATTATGATGATGGTACAGAATTGGGCAGTGTTTTGTTCTGTTGTGCATAGGGTCACTATGAGTTGGAGCCAACTCAACAGCAGTGAACAAAAACCAATAGCAATCTGTTCTGTTAATTATACCTAATAACTAGCCTCAGTGGCTTTAGGAATTCAGTGTAGACTGTCCTTTAGATTCCTGTGACAGAACAGTGAGGCAGTGAGGGAAGTCCTGGTAAACCAATCAGAGAATAAAACCATAGAACACAGGGTGAATAAACATAGGAGAGGTGAAGGATAGGAACTGGAGATGAAATACAAGAGAGTGACCAGTTTAATTATGAGAGCAGGCCTAAAAATCTGCCCTCTGGCTTCTGGCAGGACTGAGGAGAGCACGTGCCAAGAGGACATCTATCACTGATCCCTCCTTTCCCAGATGGCCTTGGTTGGCCATGTGCCACTTCTTAGTCATACTTGCAAGATGGTCTGGAGTTCTGCAGGATTTCAATTTAGCATGTCTTTTCCAGTTTCTGCAGTTGGGAACTCCTGTAAGTATTGGTCAGCAGATGGGGCAGATGTGGTAGCAATAGCAGGGACAGGAAATGCAATAGAAGGGTTTGTTCTGAGTGGTCATCTAGCCCCAGCACTTACACTCAAATTCAGCCATTGCAGCTCTGAGGTCCCCTGTCTCAGAGTCAAGCTGAATAGCACCCAGGCAGGATCTTCTATTTGATATTACCTTAAGCAACCTCCACAGTGAATCAGTGATAGAGAACTGTAGAATGGTAAATTGGTACCAGTGAGACCCTCCAGAAGTGGGGCTCAATTCTGCTTCTTCTATCTGCCAGGCTGTATTATGGACAGCAAGTCACCTAGGAAATTTTCAGCATGATTGCCACTTATGGAAGGAAGAGAATGAGTGGAGCATGAGATCCCTACCTTGAAAATTGGTGACAGCAGAAGTGACAGCAAAGACAGCAAAGAGAGACAGAGCAGCTGCAGGCTGTAGGCCTCTGGACTGAGTGCCTATGGGCAGGGCACTGGTTTACAAAATGTCTTTTGGGCATTCACAGACTAGCTAAAAGAGCTTTGTAACACTTGCCAGAGCAGGGAAGAGGCCAAGAGGCCACAGGGCTGAGAAGCCAAAGACCTGAGTGCAGTATGACAGAGAAGAGGCATTCCTGATTGGAAAACTGCTGTATCCTGAGTTGTTTTTTGATCTTTAATTCTAACTTATTCATTTCCCTAATAAACCCCATAACTGTGAGTGTTGTTATTGAATTCTGTGTGGCCATTGCAATGGATTATTGAACCCAGATGTGAAGCAAATAGTACTGTGGGAGGGATGGTTGGTGTCAGAATAAAGAAAGTTGTAAGGTGGATGCCTGTCTGACCTCCACTTTGTAGGACTAGGCCTTGGGCTGATTTTGAGTTTGATCCTCTTTCCCCTTGTGAAACCAGCAGAAGTAAGACATAGCTCCCGTATGATTTTTTTTCATAGGGCTCTTCCAATTCCGTTAGCTTTTCTAAGCCATCATCCTTAACCTCACAGTAGAGCTTCTCTGCTCTTGTTCCTGTTCTGAAGCCTAGCCCTCATCCTTATATTTTTTTCTCATCCTTATTCTCATCTTTATCCTCATCTTCATTTTTCTTCATCTCCATTCTCAGTTTTATCTTCTCCTCTTTCTCATTCATCTCTTTTCTCCCTCATCTCTTGTTGAAAAGCCCTCATGTGCCTTTACTGGTCCTTCAGGCAAAGTCTGCATTTGGGTGCCTCTTCATTTTCATCCTCACATCACTTTACTTTCATTATTATTAGGGTTAACAACAAAAGTGAGGAACATTGCATACCCCAGGACTGGAATTGGCTTGTCTTTCTATCTCCACACATTCAAGAATCCAGGTTGACCATTTCCAATGACTATAATTGCTCCTTGCAAAAGAATTCTGTCAGACCTTTGATAAATTGGTGTTGGAGACAGCAGTTATCCCAAAACAAGAATTGGGCCAAGAACTGAAAAGCTTTTACATAGCTGCAGATGGTATAGTCTCCCTGCTTGAGCTTGCTGATAGCCTTTTTAGCCACAGTGGAATGGATGAAACACAGAATTCCCTATGGATTTCATCCAGGAAGTGTGGGAAATTGGCATTCAGGGGGCTTTCCTCCTGAGTGACTAAGATGGCCCAGTCCTTGGCTGTGCCAGCAAAAAAGGAGATAAGAAAGGCCACCCACTTAGCACCCACCAGGAAATAAATGATCCTCATGGTCAGCTATGAAGGGCTCTAGCTTCATCAGGAATACAGGCAGGTAGGCTGGGTTGCCTGAAAAGGATTCCATCTCTGGTGACTCCAGCGGTGGCAAAGGAAGCTGCAGGGGCATTTCCTTTGACTTTGGCAGAGGCAATGCCAGCAGTGGTGGGCTGGGCAGAAGAGGGGGTTCGCCTGGGCCATCCAGGGTACTGCAATCCAGAGAGACACTAGTCAGAAATTCACCTGGGACATACTCAGGCTCCGTGCATAGGGGAAGCCAGTTTAAGAAGGGCAGTTTTCTCTTGGTAATGGCATTAAGCCCGCACTATGGACATTGACCAGCGGATGTAATTGGAGACATTTCTCCACAAGGAGTTACCCTCAGCCAGGGCTCTTCCTGTGTTGGTATTAATTCATCTCACAGGGCTACTTTCGCCACATGGAGGCTAGTGTGATTTCCTGCAGCCTCGAACATCTTGAGTGACTAGGTGCTCTGGGCATGCGGGGGACCGGGCCACTGCCAACAGTTGGCCACCGTAGGTCGTGTGTACGGAGGAGCCTATTGAGACACTTTACCTTGTCTCTGAGTCCTGAGTGGACGGGCAGAGCCATGAAGCCTGGCAGAGTGCATGAAGCTTGGCGGAACCACAGCCAGGTGGCAGCAGGTGGAGCGAGAGGGAGGTGAAGTGTCAGGATCTGTGTAGGAAACGCCTCGTGACCACCGAGTCCTCACCTTTTAAATGCTGCCTGGCCCTCCCGCCCACGCCGAGCAGGAGGGGCCTCACTGCTCCCTGCGCCACATAGCCTGCCCTCCCTCGGCAGCACCTCTCACTGACTCTCTCCTTCCTTAGCTGCAGCTAACTCGAGTCAGGAAAATGCGACAGCGACTGCCCTCTCGAGGTCGTCATGGCGACAGCCAGTGAATGTGTTCCTCTCTTCAGGCAGGCCCCCGAGTGTAGAGGAGCTGCTTCAGGAGGCGCAGCTCAATCTCCAGAGCCTGTTGCAAGGTACTGAGAGGGAGGGGGGCTGCGGCTGAGCCAAGGCTAGAAGCATCCTGGGCAGTGGCAGGAAGGCCGCAACAAAGAGGACAGGGCCTGCAAGACAAAAAGAGAGAACAATTGCATACATCCGCGCTGCCTCTGGCATCCAGCTGATGCTCCGACTCATCAAGGACAGAATAGAACTGCTACCTAGGATTTCCGAGACTGTAGATCTTTATGGGAGCAGACAACCTCTTCTTTCTTCCACAGAGCCACTATTGGGTTTGAATTACAGACCTTGCGGTTAGCAGCCCACCAGGGCTCTTTAATTACAGTGGAAAATCACAGTTTCTATCTTTCATGTTCCAGACTAATAATTCTAAAAGCCTTTGTTTCCACCGTTGTTCACCCCCCACACCCTTGTTCAGTTAAGTAAGGGGCCCTTGTGGCATAATGGTTGAAGTGCTCAACTGCTAACCGAAAGGTCTGTAATTCAAATCCACCAGCAAGTCTCCTTAAAGACTTATGGCTTGGAAATTCTGTGGGGGCAGTTCTCCTCTGTCCTATAGAATTGGTATGAGTTAGAATCCACTCCACAACAATGTGTCAGTTAAGTGGTCCAAGGAAAAAAGGGCAAAGGCAGAAGCAGATCAGTGGGTCAGGCCATTCACAATGAAAGCTGAATAGGAGATGACTCCAAATGTAGGTCCTCCCCCTCCACTTTCCACTTGGTCCATGCCTTTGGAATTCTGTCACCAGATGACAACAGAGACATTTGCAGAGTCCCTCATGGTGACCTTTACTCCCTCTGCTTTGGCAGAAACCCTTTCCTCTGCCTCCTGGATAGTCACTGCCTCCCTAAAATAACCCCAATACACAGCACCCAACATTCATAGTTCTCAAGTCTTTGGAGTATACTGATAAGTTTGCTGTATACAATGCTGGTCCACACTAACTGAAGAAGCAGCCCCAGCAATTTTGCCCAAGCAGTCAGACTGTGTGCACCAGGCAGAATGGAGAAAATCGGACAGAACCAGTATCTAATTCAAACCCCACACCTAACTAGCTGTGTGACATTATGCATATTGACCAAACTCCCTGAGCTCCAGATTAATCAGTCATCTTTAAAATGAAGATTCTAATTCACTACATTATACAGCTTTGTGAGGATTAATAATGGAAAGTATGTAACCCACTGAATAAAATTATTTTGCAGCTAGAGAGACTCTGATATGGTTTAATATCAATTCTCATTATATGTCCTTTGGAACATGGGGCTGAGAGAAAGACAATGTGATTCCTGCTAGGTCCTTACAATATAAAAGACAGATACATTGATGAGCAGGACTAATGGGTTGCTGCAAATATATGGATGGAAATCATAAGAGGGTATGGATACATAAGATTCAGGGAACTGATTTACTGTTTGTAAGTTATATCTCAATAAAAAGGTAAAAATAAAATCTCAGTGATAGACATAGCTTCAATACATCCTGTAGATACTCACCCAATTCAGATCACTTTTCTAAGCTTAGAATCCCTTCCTCCTTTCTCTTCACTCTAACCCTTGCACTTTCTTCAAGTTATACTCTTGACTCATTCCCCGCCCTCAAATTTCCTGACATTAATTCTGTATTTTGCATTCCCTCCATAATATACCATCGCACATCCAGTTTGAGAGGATTTGTATAATTCTGAACTGCTTTTTCTTTCCTTTATTCATTCATCTACTCTTCCTGGGTATATATTCTGTGTACCTAACCAGACTTAAGTTTCTCAATGGAAAGAATCACATTCTAGTATTCCTGGATTTCCAGAAGCACCTAGCACAAAACTGGATCTTCAAGAGGTGCTTAAAAAACATTTGTTCAATGAACGCCAAATGTGAAAACCGGTCATGTCACCTCTTATTTATCCAAACCAACAAAGGTTAACTCATATGGAGAACAGAAAACTGTAGAGGAGTCATCCAACTGAACAACAGCTATAACTTTCACCTCCCTGCCAGGGCAAGATTCCTAGGGACACCATGAGTCTTAGCTTCCTATAACAGAGTGGCTATCATGCAGCAGGGTGGGGAGAGAAGAGAGAGAGAGAGTCGATGTGTTCTCTGTCATTATCAAGGATAGAACTAGGATCAAGTGGGTAATAACAGAGAGATTTCACCTCAAGATAAGGGAGAACTTCTGACACGCCTGACAGCCCAAACTGTCTGTGGATGGAATGAACTGCCTTAGGAGGTAGGGAGTTCTTTGCAGGTGTGTGCACATGCTGAATAAGCACTTGGAAGGGCTGCTGAGGAGGTAGGTCAGATGCAGAATGGAGTGTTGGAACAGCAAACCTCTGAGGTCCCTCCAAACCTTGAGTTTCTTTGAATCTAAAAATCTGTGTCCAGATGTAAATAGTCACACTTGATTGTTCCTTGCCCTACCCTGGCTTTCTTCATCTATTCACTTAATTCATCACAGAAATCAAACCCACCCAACTCTTATTGCATCCTTCTTACTCCCTGACAATGCTCCCCAACTTTTCCTCCCTTCTATGACACTACCTTCTTCCCTTTCCTTCACCATACCTCAAAAGTGGGACTAAGGTACTTGATTTCCTAATCAAGCCAAAAAGAAGACTCAAGTAAGAGCTCTTGACATCTAAGAGAGGTTTAACTTTCAAATGCAAATTTTATCTAGCTTCACACAGGTCACTTCTCTGGTAGGGTTGCAAAAAAACTGAAGAAGGGCTTCAAAGAGTGACTCTTGTATTAAAAATTAGCAAAAACTGTTTGTACCCTGAGCCCTCTCTCTGAATTGAGAAATTAAGGTGAGGGCCATGATACAAGGGTTTGGTCCCTGAATTGGTTGCATTTATTGACTTCCTTTTTTCCCCTCACCTTCTGAGCCCTGTGTAAAAGGGCTTTTTCCCTTTCAGAATCCAGAGACTCAGATACCATGAAATATCCTAAAGAAACAATGCAAGTCAGGACTGACAGCTAGAGCAGGTGTCCTGGCTAATGGTCCTTCCCTAGCCTAGCACTTGGCCATAGCCCCCTAGAGTGTATATCCACTGTGCTATTTTTCAGAAGAATATGAGGAACAGTACTCAGAGGCCAGACTCCTGGGGCAGACCTTCCGCTCTTCTGATGAGCCCCCTGAACCCACTCCCAATCCAAGGCCCCAGCCTGCCAGGCACCTGGAGTTAGTATTGATGGTGAGTTGCCCTTTTTCTGACCTGGGATAGCCAGTGTGCAGCGTTCACCCTGCAACCACTGACGGGATTACAAGGCTGCTCACAATGTCCACTGGAAGCTGCTGCTCACCTTCACGCACCAGCGGAGCTATACAACAGCTCTATCAGGAAGGGCTCTGCACTGGCAGATAACCTGGCCTGGCAGCCTGTCCACTTTTTCCTGACTCCCAAATGATGCTTCCAACATCCCTGTCTAAACAGCCAGCCTATGAGCATTGACTTTTCTCCAGTTGGAAGTACACCATTTCCATCACCTTCTTTCTCAACAGCCTACAAAACAGCAGCTGAGCGAGGATGATACCACCACCCAGGGTGTGAGGGCCCCAGAGACCTCACTGAACCTGTCTACCACAGCTGACAAGCAAACTGCCTGGAATAGCTCCTTCCCTCTGCCCATCCTAGAGGAGAGGGGATGGCTTCAGCCTTGCTCCACACAGTCTGACATTGTACCCATCAACATCTCTGGTAGAGTTGCTTAGCACCACCTCTGTTTGCTTACCTCCATGCCAACTACAGACCATCCTCTCCAAATGCACTGGGTGCTGGGGGAGGGAGCAAGACTTCCTTTGCTACTGGCTCACCCTGCTCTGTCATCATTATGGCTTTAGTTAGGGAACAGTGGCCTGCAGAAGAGGGAGGGGGCTCTGGCTGCTGTAGGTTCACTCCCTACTGACATGGCCACACTAACTGATACCATCTGATAGTAAACAATTATTTTTTAGCTGAAAACTAAAACTTTATGAACCTGTGTGCTCTTTCAAGCATGTGCAGAAACTTAAAGTTTATAAATTATTTTTGGTTTGGGGAAAGAAACCAAGAACCAGGTTTGGTGCACAGAGATAGATGTTGGAGGGGAAGCGTGGAATTCATAGTGCTGATGGGAACAAGATCATACTCAGGGCACAGACCAAAGAAAGAACGTGTGGCACTTTAAGTAGAAAATAGGTCTTCTAGTAAAGTGGACTTCTCAACTTGCTTGGCAAGTTTTTCAAGAAGGGAAGTAATAGAAAGGAACAAAAATGAAAAAGATCCAAAGGGAACCCAGTACCACTTGCCCATAAGAATGGAAAAAAGAGGTGTATGTAGCCCAGCTTGTTGTGACTTTGAGGACATGCAGCACACATATCATGTCCGTTATTAGTTTGTGCCCTACATTCTGCTGGGTGTAAGTAGAACAAAAGGAGAATGGTCTGCCATTTCAGAGGGGCATGTGCCAGTGGCCTGATGAAATCAAGACCTCAGTAACCCAAAGGGACCAGAGGGACCCAGTGAGCTAGCTACCACCCCATGGTATGCTGGAAAAAGTTGATGAAGACAATGAAGGCAGGTAGGGCCACATATGTTGGTGTTCCCCTGGATATGTGGCAACATCACAGCAATTCAGAGGCAGGAAATAGAGCCCATAGCCTAGGAAAATGTATTGATAAGAAAAAGGGTGATGAGGAGAGACTCATAAAGTGATGCTTGGTGATTTGTTTCTAACCGTCTTATATTGGATAAGGCTGTCCCTGAGTTTTGTCCACTGTGCCACTTGCTGGAGTGTGGGTGTATGTATGCAGCCATGTGGCTGAGAGGAGAGGCTATGGTAAGCTAACTGCTGAATGAAAGAGGGTGAGAGGAACTGCATACCTCTCCAAACTGACTTGCCTCACCCTGACTCAGCCCCAGCAACGTCACAGGAGGCAATGAGTGATCCAACACTCAGTTACCACACAGTGGGGAACTTTGATAACACATGATAGGACAGATTACCAGATGGCTTCTTGGATGGTGGAGGGCAATAGGGCAGCTTCTTGAAGATACTGCCTTAACATGACCCATATAAAGGCCTTCTCTGAGAAAGGATTCCAATCAAGCAACATCTAATTTCAACCAGGCACTCTACAACATTGGTTCTCAGCCCTGAATGCACATCTGAATCACCTAAGAAGCTTCTAAAAATGCTTATACGTGGGCCTATCCCAGAGATTTAAATGTGACTCGAGTAGAGACGCAGGTATTGGCGTTTCAAATTCTTCAGTTTATTTCTATATGCAGTCAGGGTTGAAAACTACTGCTCTAACTCATCTGACATGCACAGGTAATCCTTGGTACAGCCTATGAAACCCAGTATGTGTGCTTTGAGATTGTGGGTACCCAGGGCCAAATTGGGATGGAAAAGGAAGAAGCACTACCTGCCTCAATGCTGTTCATGTTCATTGCTACTGCCATCATCCCTTCTCTTTACTTTAGCCAATTTCGACTGTACTTTAAACAGAAGCAAGGATGCACCTGTGTCTTTATTTTGGCTACAGGACAGCAGTTTGATAAACATGCAAGTTCGCGACACTCATTGTTTAACACGGAGACAGCCGTGAACCCCAAGTCTACCCTGAGGCGGAGGCGGACCATTATTGGAGTTTCTAACTTTTCCCAGCGAGACCAAGGTGACCCCACTACAGCTGATTTTACAGACCCAACCCCTTGCTCACTCCCACCAATCTTGATGATTGCGAATAGGAATAATTAGGAGAAAATAGACTTTGGATGCCCTAAAAAAAAAAAAAAAAAAAGCCAATGTGCTCATTAAAGCTACCAAGTTCAAGTTCATTATATTATTGTTTCCCATTATATATGCCAAAATTAGGCAAAGAGTTAAAGGGGGTGGGGAATGATCCCTAAAACCACCATCTTAACAGAACCATCACTAACATCAAGTCAATTCTGACTCATAGCAATCTTGTTTCCCAGGCTGTAAATCTTTATGGGAGCAGAAAACCTCACCTTTATCCCTTTGAGTAGCTGGTGGGTTTGAACTGCTGACCTTGCAGTTAGCAATACGTTGCTTATCATACAGAGCCACTCCAGCTCCGCCATTAAGTAAATGTTATCCAAAGAGCATAAACTGGAGAGATGAATGTGAATCCTAGCCCTTCCACTTACTAACTGGGAGACAGACCTTGACCAACTTACATAAACTTTCTGGGCCTCAGTGTTTTCACCTGTTAATTGGGGATAATAATATCGACACAATAGAGTCGTGAGCTTCAGAGTACTTTCATATATTTTGCCTACCATGTTTCACATATTTTACCTACCTTATACATGGAATCCTGGTGTGGCATTGTAGGATAAGCATTGGATCACAAGGTCATTTGAACCACAAGGTTTGCAGTTCAAACTCACCAGAAACCCCATGCAGGGTCACTATAATAGAAACCAATTCGACAGGCACTTAACAACAACAACAACCTTATACATACTAGGTGTTCAACAAATGGTGGCCATTATCATAGTAGTAGTAGTAATATAACAGTAATAATTAATGTCTATACGAGAAAACCTGGGGAATTTTGAACATCTGTGTTTGCTTACTTCTTGAGGTTATACTGTCTCTTATGTTGCACAGCTAAAAAGTGACATGAGCTTCCCAGCTCTGGCATGCTCCAGATTCATTACTGGAGCAGAGACTCACACAGTACTGTCCTTAACTAAATCAAAAACCTCTGTTCTCATCTCAGGAGAAGAGAAACTGAGGTTTATGATTGTTTCATGAGCCTGGGATGAAAATATCGGCTAGGGAGATAAAAAAAAAACAAAAAAAAAAAACCCACATGACACTTCAGCTCTAAAAGGAATAATTCAAGCTGAAAAGTCTTTGGCAACCATCTGGACAATTTAAGGGTACCCTATCATTGATTCTGTGTGATGATGAACAAAGCCCCAAATTACCCAACATCCTCAGCTATGGAAAGGAAGAGCCAAGGAATTCTGACCAAGCTGTTGGCAAATGCTTCTTGGCAAAAACTTGGTGCTCCTGTCTGGACAGCTGATGGAGTACCCCCTGCTGCACCACTAACATTCTGTGTTTATATCCTCCAGGTCACAGCAACAGCCCAGCAGACAGTGTGACCCACTCTTCAACCTCAGACATCAGGCCCAGTCATCCCGTTCCAGAAGGTGTTCACGGAAGAATTGCAGTTAGTCAGGAAGCTCAGCTCCAAAATCTCACCTCATCAGTATTAAGAAATCCTTCTAGCAATCTGGAAGAGACTCACCAGGAATGTAGTGGTACAAACCCTCCTGGCATGGAGAGCATGGGAATGGTGTACAGTGTCCCTAGTTCTTGCAATGGAACAACAGAATCTACATTCTCCACTTCCTGGAAAGGAGATGCTTTCGCCTACATGATTCCAAGTGCCACTAGCCAGAGCGATCACGTCTATGAAAATGCAAAGAATCCTTCCTCCAGGAATTCTTGGGTCTCTCTGAACACCCTCCCACCTCTGGTTGCTAAAGAGGCTGCTGCCCTCTCTGTCACTCGTGATAACCTAGCAGGATGCAGTAAATTAGCTGGCTCCTCTGAGCACCCTACTCAAAGAAGGCAAGTACCAGAAAGAGCTGCCAAGACTGGCCTTCTGGCCAGTGCTACATCAAGACGGGACATAGGCCCGCATGGGGCCAGCAAATTCCGGGAGCGGTCACTGTCGGTGCCCACAGACTCAGGCATCCCAGATGTTGACTGTGATGAGGGGCAGAAGGCCAGTGAAATCTGTGCCCTGCCTTATGCCAGTACTAGTTCTGAGGGAAGTAATAGTGCTGACAACATTGCCTCCCTTAGTGCCAGACAGGAGGCTCAGCACAGAAGGCAGAGGTCCAAAAGCATCTCACTCAAGAAAGCCAAAAAGAAACCTTCTCCACCAATGCGCAGTGTCTCACTGGTCAAAGATGAGCCAGTACTCCTGTCAGAAGATGGACCAGCATTACTTAAGGACCAGAGACCCAAGAGCCTTTGTCTTTCCTTGGAGCACCAAGGACATCACTTGTCCCACCCAGATGCTCAGGGTCACTCACCTGCGCCAACCCTTAAAGATTCAGAAGGCATACAATTCTCCCACCATTGGTATCTTACTGACTGGAAATCTGGTGACACCTACCAATCCTTGTCCAGCTCCAGCACTGCCACTGGCACCACAGTCATTGAGTGCACCCAAGTTCAGGGCAGCTCAGAGTCTCTTGCTTCCCCTTCTACTTCCAGAGCTACTACGCCTTCCCAACTTTCTATTGAGATGGAGGCCAGGGAGATATCCTCTCCAGGAAGGCCCACTGGACTAATGTCACCCTCTAGCGGATACTCCAGTCAGTCAGAGACACCAACACCCACTGTCTCCATGTCCTTGACCCTGGGCCACTTTGCCCCTCCAAGCAGCAGTGTCCGGGTACGTCCAGTGGTACCTGAGAGGAAGTCATCACTACCTCCGATATCACCAATGGAGAAAAGTTCCAAATCACGGCTCTCATTTGACTTACCATTGACCTCTTCCACCAACCTGGATCTGTCTTGTATGAGTATCTCCTTCCAAAGCAAAACCAAGGTGAGCCGTCATCACTCAGATACAAATTTTGGGGCCAAGCTGGCCCAGAAAACTAGTCCCAACCAGCCAATCATGCCTATAGTTACTCAATCTGACCTACGTTCTGTTCGCCTGAGGTCAGTCAGCAAGTCTGAGCCAGAAGGTGACACTGAGAGCCCCGATTTTGCTGAAGAGCCTGGAACAGAAGTCTTTACCTTGCCAGAGAGAAAGATGAAACCTCCGGTAGCTGAGAAGCCTCCACTGGCCCGAAAGCCTCCAAGCTTGGTCCATAGGCCACCATCAGTCCCTAAGGGATACCTACTAACTTCACCTACACTAGCTATGACCACTAAGAGCTCAATTCAACACATGAGGCCACTCCCACCAGACATCTACACCGTGGCACAGGAACCAAAGTCCTCCAGCTTCTCTGATGGCAAGAGCCCAGAGGAATCAGCAGTACCCTTACCACTTGTTTTCACACCTTTTGCCAATTCCTCTGGTGCTTTCTTCTCAGGAACACAACTGCCTCCCCAGAGAAATATGGCGGATGAGAGTTCCAAGATAAAAGCCCTGCCTGAAAGAATTAGCCTCCAGAGCCAGGAAGAAGCTGAGAAAAAGAAAGGCAAGATTCCACCTCCTGTACCAAAAAAGCCCAGCGTGCTGTACCTGCCTCTCACGTCATCCACAGCTCAAATGGAGGTCTATATGGCAGAACCAAGGCTACCTCTCAGTCCCATCATCACCTTAGAGGAAGATGCCAAGTGTACTCCCACCGATGATGACCTACAATCACCTGGCAAAAAGATGACTTCAATTCCACAGGCTGATAATGAAAAGGAGGCAAGACTTCTAGGTTAGTAAACTGTCTTCCATTTTTTCCTTCTAATCACAGGATATGTGTGGGAGAGAAAATGGAGTGCCAAATACAAAATCAAATACCCGCAAGTATTCATCCTGATCCCAGTATGACCAAACCAAGTAGGGGCTCCTCTTGAGAGTTGGGGTTACTCTAAACTGACCCAAGGACAGACCACCAAAGTCCAATGAGAGCCTAGAAGCCTAGGACTTTAGGATCCCACCTTCCTAGTCAGGTATGCATCCCCTGTCATAGAAACTACTTCCCACTTCCACTGTATAGTACTTTTCATTGGCCACAGTGCACTTAGTCTCAGGCAAGGGATACAAAACCCTCTCATACTGAGTTCAAGTGCCATGGCAGGGCTTGTAGGCTTCTGAAACAATGGAATGTATTACCAGCAGAACCTTTCTTAGTGTTTTTTAGAGGGAAACCGAGCCAAAAAAAACTAAACGCATTGCCTGCCATCGAGTTGATTCTAACTCATAGTGACTCTGTACAGGGTTTCTGAGGCTGCACATTTTTGCTAAAGCAGAAAACCTCATCTTTCTTCCACAGAGTGACTGGTGGACTTGAACTGCCTACCTTGTGGTTAGCAGTCCAGTGCTTATCCTACAGTGCCACACAATGAAATGTTCTTTATTTTTGAACATTTTATTGTGGTTTGGGTAAAAGTTTATAGAGCAAATTCATATTTCATTTAATAATTTATATGCATTTTGTAACAACACTCCTCCCACTTCCTTTTTTTCAATTCATCCTTCTTTCCTGCCCATTCCTACCCTCTGAGCTTTGTTTTTTGGGAAAATGCTGCCCTTTTGGTTTTATATGGCTGACTCTTCACTTTATAGGCCTGTCTATGTTGACGGTGGAGGGAGGGGGCGGTGAGTTCAGTTCCAAGTTTGAAGGGTATCTAAGAGCCATAGTTTGGGAGGGAGGGTGTTTCCACTGAAGCTCAATTTCTTGCATGGTTTGAGGCTAGCTCTTCCTAGGACCATAAGAGTAGGCTAGAAAATATATCGCATCCTTTTTTTAACCCTTGCCACAAAACATCAAAATACCATGGCTTTCTTGAGGATTATTTGAACTTTTAAAATAATCATCGTGACTAAAAATAACAAAGCCACAGATCATTTTCACATATGCTTTCTCAAACTATACATGCTCCCTCTGAGATTCAAATAGGTCTACTCTCACCCACTACTTTAATGTCATTTCTTTAGATTGCTCTCAGGTCCTTGATTTTAAAATAATAGTGATAATAATGGGTTTAAAATAAGAGACTGCTCAAGCAGCCTTTTGTAATAGAAAAGGTATGAGAGACCAGGCGCCCATGCCCACTCACTGCACTAAACTTCTGAACCTTATGTTCCTCTTCTGCAAAATGGAAAGATCAAAAATCTCCACTCTGCTGCCCTCCCAGAGTGTCTTTGAACATGAATAACATATGAGAGTGTGCATTGTTCTGGCTATTGTGGTCAAAGTCATCCCTTCTGGTTCTTATGCCTAGGGAGTTCTATGGAACCGAGCACCGAAGAAAAAGGTTTAATCAGTGATAAAACAGCCGAATCGATTGCAGAAGATGATGATGATGTACCTGTGGCTTCACGTACAACTGAAGATTTATTTACTGTGATACACAGGTCTGGACCCATTTCCTTAATTCAAATTGCCTTCCTATTTTATACTGAAAGAAAAACTGCTACCTTCAAGCAGTCGTTAGAATTGAAACTGGAGGCTAATACAAATACCAGTCCAGGGCCTCACATCTCAAGTTCACTGACATCTTTTAATAAATTGGGGGCCCCTGTCTCCTAGCAGCTATGTGGCCTCCTGTAACTCTTTGCTATTTCATAACTCTGTCAATTGGAAAAAAAAAGACACTACCATTGAGTCAATTCTGATTCATAGTGACCATGGAGGACAGAGTAGAACTGTTCCATAGGATTTCCTAGGCTAAAATCTTTACAGAACTGCTGGTGGATTCAAACTGCCGATCTTTTGGTAAGCAGCCAAAGGCTTAACTCACTGTGCCACCAAGACTCTGCTCTGTCTACAGGCAGAATTCACAGAATTTCTTATACCAAAATATCTCTTGAGGTGAAGTGGGGCACCAGGTGGAGTATTGAAGCAGGAACTCAGGCAGAAGGGGACCAAATGGGGACCATTATTGGCTTAGTGACAAAGAAACTGGCAAGAGTCCAGTTCTGGGAACGAGGGTCTATGAGATACTAACGTTGATTCTTTAGAGCAGGGGTTGTTGATAAGTGCTGTCGAGTCTGTTCAGACTCATGGAGACCCTGTATAGGGTTTCCAAGGAGCAGCTGGTAGGTTTGAACTGCCAACCTTGTGCTTCACAGTCCAGTACTGATCCTACAGCACCACACTAGGAGTCCTTAGAGCAGGGGTGGGGAATCTTTTTTCTGCCAAGGGCCATTTGGATATTTATAACATCATTCGTGGGCCATACGAAATTATCAAATTAAAAATTAGCCTGCTATATTTGGTCAGACACTTAATTAACTCATCCCTACTGTGATGGCTGGAACTGTGGTTGCCTTGACAGGGCCAAACCAAATGATTTCGCGGGCCCTACAAGGCCTGTGAACTGGACGTTCCCCACCCCTCCTTTAGAGCCTTCCTTGGCTCCAGAACCTGGCAGGACTGAAACTGCAGACACAGGCCAAGTAACTCCAGATGTGGGCATTGAAAGGCGCAGGAGGTGGGTCAACAAGTGACTGAGGACTTAGAGGTGAGCAAACCGGTAAATACAAGGTTATTACATAGAAGGTCCCAGATTATGTCATTAACATTTATGAAGTTATATGAAGCATTAGTAAATGTCTGCTTCATGAGTTCACTTAAACCAAATTTTTTTTAAAAAATAAATTTAGGTCCAAAAGAAAGCTGCTTGGCTGGAAGGAACCTGGTGAGGCATTTGCTGGCAGCAGACCGAGCTCCCACTTGCCAATAAAGAACACAGCTGATTCTTCAATCAGTGAGTCTGCTGCTTGTGCAGGGTCAGGCAGCAGTGCTAACCTAGATGCTGGCAGAAATGATGATTTCAAGGCCCTGCTACAGAAGAAAGGAAGTAAGGTAACTCCAAGGTCCCGCCCCTCAGCAGCTGAACTGCTAAAGACCACCAACCCACTGGCTCGGAGAATTATCGCACAATTTTCAAAAGACTATGAAACCACGGATAACTCCAGTACCTAAACCCTGAATTTAGCAGGCATGGTTTAATTACTAAACTTGAGTAATTAAGGGGAGAGAGGGAGAGTTTTTTAAAGGAACCATGGAAATAATAAGAGATCTTACATTTTCTTTTACATGAACTCACAGTCTGGATAGCAGGGGAGAGACTACTTCATCTACAGCTAAAGACATCAGGCACTTCATCTTCAAATATTTTGCGTTGTCATTCTTACAGTTTTGTTATTACTATTAATTCTATTCTTATTTTCCCCTAACGATGTACACTGAGAAGAAATTTCCAGACTCAAGGGCATGCATGCCACCTTTTAAATGAAAGGCTATGCCTGGCTCCTGTCACAGAGGGAAATAGTGGGAGAGCAGATGGAAGACTGCCAAATCTAGGCGGGTCGGGGGGTTGGGGGGCTGGGATGCCATCGCTGATGATTCACTTTCCTGATGAGGTCTCATGGCCCTGCTTGGAGCTACAGAAAGATTCTGATGCCTCTTCAACCACAGTTAAACTCTCCCCTGTGAGAGGTTTGCAGGTGTGCACTTATTTCAGCCTAAGGTTGATTGAGTCTTGAAACCTCATGCCTTTTTCAGTTCGATTGCCTACACGGAAGTCAGGGTGACGAGTTTCAAAAAAATATATAAAACCCCACTCCCCCTCTCCATTAGCGAGGAAAGATCAGGACCAGATTGTTTTGGATGAACCAAACTCAGCCAACAATATCCAAGGTAACTCAGATGTGTGCCTTGGTGGTGGTCGTCGTAGTGTGCCGTGGAGTCGGTTCCGACTCATAGCGACCCTGTATAGGGTTTCCGAGGCAGTAAATCTTGACCGGAGCTGAAAGCCTCATCTTTCTCCCACGGAACAGCTAGTCGTTTCGAACTGCTGACCTCGAGGTTAGCAGCCTGACTCGTAAACACTACTCTATCAGAGCTCCTTAGATGTGTGCCTTGAGAACCTTCAAATGTCTATCAACATTGACAGCTGGATCTGTACCCAGTTCATGCTGCATTCTAAGAACTCTTATTGTTTCATTTGCATATAGCATTCGTTTCAGGAAGGAATTAGTTGAAGGAACAGCATCATCCAAGCCTTAAGGAGGATAGAAAGTTAGTGGAACTTGCCCACCACCATTCAGTTTGTGGTTTGTAGTTGCTTGTGTATTTGTTTAAAGAAAGTCTTACTCTGTTTAGAATATTAGGAACGTACAGACTATATGGACAGATCCAAAATCTGAAAGGCACCCTCACAAGTTGCTATGACATGTAACACAAAACAAGGGCTACTTTTTGCTGTTTAGTTTCTGCTGTTTGACCAACTTTCAATTAACCACTCTGAGGGAGAGTGCAGGAACTGAGAAAAATGGGATGTGACAGAGTGCCAAAACAATTATCTCCATCTTTCCCCTCTCCACACAGTTTATAGGCACTAAACTACCCTTGTCAGTTCCGTTTTCTAAGCTGAAAAAGGGCAGTGACTCATTTTATTTTCATATGCCTGGTTTATGGCGGGGGGTGGGGGTGGGGGGATCAGACAGAGCACTGAACAAACAAAACCCACGGACTAATAATGAAGAGTTAATGGTCTACCCTTTCTAAAAATGAACAAGAAAAATTGAATTAAATTTTAGCCTGGTTCACAAAGAGGGATCCCTAACCCGTTTCTGTCCCCCCAACTCTAAAGATCCATTATTTTACCTCCTGGAAGATGCATTAACAGCCCCAGAAACAAGCAGATCTCTTTATTTTGATAGGCTGTTTTGCTAATCAGAAGCAAACTCTTAGCTCAATTGACCACACTCCAACAGGACACAGCAGCTGACAAACCACGTTCAGTTTTTCAAAGATTAGGGCGCTCATCTAGAGCCTATTCCCTTGACTGGTACAGTTCTAAAGTGCTGATCGCAGGCCTACCACCTCTCTCGCAATCAGCACTTGCCCCTAACTTAGAAAGAAGCCATTAAAAATAATAAACAGCTAGGGAAAGCCCAATTGCTTTTTGAAAGTATCTGAACTATTCAGATTGAAGCTCTTGACCAGATTTCAGGGGAGGGGGGTTTTTGCCTGAAATAAGATAGATTCATTCCTAGCCTTAATTTATATATGAATGTCTCACTTGTCTGCTCCAGACTTAAAATTCCCAAAAATAACTGAAACATTTCCCTCTATAAGCAAAAGAACGAGGGTTTGTGGTTTTTTTACCTAACAAAAACGAAAGGCTACCAGAGCCTGCTGTTTTGAACCATTATAAATAATTGAACTCTAAATCCAAGTGTGGGACTCATAAAGCATAGAACTTGTTACTTCTGCTGATTTTCTGGAAGTTTCTTGTTTACTATTTCTAGTGGGTTTTGCCTCTCCCCTTACCTCTGGTTGATTTCCCAAGAGATTCTAAAGTTAAATGTCCAAACATCTTTATACTTTTCAATTATTTTGATCCTTGTTTTCCTGTACAATTAAGGAGCCCTCATGGTGTTGTGGGTTAGGCATTGGACTTCTAATTGCAAGATCGGTGGTTCAAACCCACCAGCCGCTCGTGGGAGAAAGATGAGGCTGTCTGCTCCCATGAAGATTTTCAGTCTCAGGCTCACTGTATAGGTTCAATATGAGTTGGAATTGATTCAACGGCAGTGGGTTTCGTTTAGTTTTGGCTGCCTGTATGCCTGGAATCTTTTTAGATCATCTTCCATATCATCACTATAGCTCTTAAAGTCCCAGTGGTGGTGGTGGTGTGCAATGGAGTTGGTTCTGACTCATAGCGACCCTGCATAGGGTTTCCGAAGCCGTGATTCTTTATGGGAAAAGAAAGCCTCATCTTTTCTCCTGTGGAACAACTGGTAGTTTCAAACTACTGACCTTGAAGTTAGCAACCCGACTTGTAACCACTATGCTACCAGAGCTCCTTAAAGGCCTAGTAGTGTTCCCATTAACACAAGAGGATTTGGGGCGGAGGCTTATAAGGACTAGAAATATTCATTTCATATTTTGCATCCAGTGGACCTAATTCCAAACAACCAAAGTATAAATTTTCTATCAATCATTCATTAACCTAACATCAAATATTTTTCCTACTCCTAACACTCAACCTCTCTCCAACCCTTTCTCTCTCTCACCCCAGGATTTTATTACATTGTTTTTGCCACCTTCTGAACCTACCCTGCTGAGACTGGACAGGAGAGGCTGAAAGCCCCTCTTAGGAAGGCTTTCAGGGAACCTAATAATAATAACACTGTTTAAAGTGGAATATAGAAAATATTTGAGTGAAATAAAATTGACTCTAGTAGATCAACTTCCACTTCAAATTGTTTCTATCTTTTTTCCTCTGATTCCAGCCAATACCAGCAGGTAGCTCTGCTAGACTGACGTCCATCCTGTTAGGAGCCATCCCTAAGAGGAAAGTTTGATTAGTAACTAAGAATGTTTTGTACTTGGTGGATATTTATTACATATTTGTAGTCTAAATGATGAGGGTGGAGAGTAAGATAGTCTCAGGATAACAATAAATTTTGCTGGTGTCTCCTTTCCTTTGTCTGCACTTGTTTGCCTACCTCAATCTCTTTACCTGAGCCTCCCACCTGACCCCAACTTGTCCGTCACTCCCAACTCCCATGAACTGCATCCCTAGCAAACAGCACACCCATGAAAGGGGCTAGACAGCAGGCAGCAAAAGAGTTCATGTTGGCTTAATGACCATAAATTGACCAGTTTATCTGAAGAAATTACCTTGAATGTGCAAACAGAGAGATTCTATAAGGTTTTTATAAAACAAGTATTTCATCTAGCATCCACTTTAATTATCTCAACAGCATAAATCTATCTATCAGTCTGAGCTATCTGTTCATATACCTACCCTCTTCCTCATAAATGAACTATTTAATGAAAATATGATTCATGATCCGTCACCTGTTCATTGAGTCAGCCTTCTATAATCACCAAGTCTGTAACAATGACGAGCTTTCACTTTCATGATTTTCCAGGGCCAGGACAAGGGTGAGGTGAGTGAAGCTCGTAGGACACAAAATTTAAGGAGACATCTACTATCAGGGTCCTGCAAGTGCCTTACCCTAGTCCTGGCCCCATTTTAAACTCTATAAAATAATATCAGTTGATCTTCTTTCTCTGAACAAATATGGTTCTTCATATTTTTTTTTTTTGGTAATTCCATATCATTGCACCAAGTGTTTTATTGCTATGTATTTTTGCATTGCTGTAAACTTATGTATACATATACATTAAAAAATATTCAATGTTATCAGAAAACATAGTTTATTCAAAAGTAACCTGCTGCAAGTGGCAAGTTGTTGTTGTTAAGTGCCATTAAGTCGATTCCGACTCATAGCGACTCCGTACAGGGTTTCTGAGGAGCGGCTGGTGAGTTTGAACCGACGACCTGCAGGTCAAACTGACCTTGAGATTGAGTGTTTATCCTATGGTGCCACACCAGGACAAGTTAGTATCCATTTAAGTAGGGATGTAGACAGGGACAACCCTTAAGTAAAATAGTGAATGAGTTGGCGCTCTCTTATGGGATCCTCAGTCTCTTTCTGCTCCATTCTCCCCAAACCTTACTTCAATGTCTCCTAATTTGTTCTTCTCCTCTCTCAGAAAAACATGCTCTCAGGAGAGACATAAATTCACTTATCTTGAGATTATTAGACTTAATCCTACTTCTTTCGAGGGCCATTTTTACATTTTAAAAGGGGAAAGCCTTAAGCCAAAAAAATGAAGTTCTACTTACAGAATTTCAGGCATCAACTTGTAAAAATATATTTTTGGCCATTTAAAGGCCAGATTTCCTGATGGCCAACTCCAGAAAATAGAAAATACCTTAATCTCCTGGAATTATTTTGGTTAATCATTAATAGTCAATTAAATTGTCCCGATACTCAGTGCTATTCAATATGATTACTACCAAGGGACTTTCAGAAATTGCTAAAACCACTGAGAAGCCCTAGATAGTTCATACTGTACATTAAGCTTTTTATGTCAATGGAATTAATGAGACTTTCTGC